TCTACTCTACTCTACTCTACTCTACTCTACTCAAATCTTCTCCATTCTACTCTGCTCTGCTCTGCTCCACTCCACTCCATTCTACTCTACGCAGATTTACTTCATTGTACTCTATTCTGCCCTACTTTCTACTTTTTTCTACTCTTCCTTTCTCTTTTCTCCCTTCTGTTTTATTGTACTCTTTTTGCTGTGCCTCCCAGCACCGCCGCTGCCCCTGTTTCTCTCTGCTGTTTCCTGCCTTCACCCCCCAGCAGCGTCAGTCTATCGGCAGACAGAAAGAACCTCCGGCATCCTTCCTCACCCAGCTCAGCTGCTGCTGTCTGCTGGTGGCCAGCAAAGATGGGAAAAAAAAGGAGGGAATGAGCAATCAGTTCACACCCCATCTCTTTTACTTTATTAAATAAGAGCCAGAACGGGCCTTTCCTCCCTTCTTCTGAGCAGCAAGGCGAACACGAAGCACCTCTCCCCCCGCCATGCCCCCGGCACGCAGCCGACTGCTGCAGCAATGCACTGAAGTTCATCTGAATCAATTCTAATTCAACAATTGTGACCACCGTACTGGAATAAATGATGGCGCGTTCTACCCTCTCATTTTCATCAGTGATATATTTGGCTTCTAAATCAGGTTAATTAAAAATTGCTGCAGTTAATGCTGGATAAGCAGCGGTGTAACGTTTCTTTTTTTTTTTTTTTGAGACTACATAAAGCTATGCTATCCACGTGTTTGGGAATATATTGTCCTTCTGCAATCAAGAAGCTCCTGGGAAAGTTATTTGCAGATCCAGTGATTGCAAGCAGGGCGTTGATGACAAAGAACTTATGTCAGCACCATGAGTGTAGAGAAGCATGCTATGGATGTACCTGGACGAGGACAACGGCCCCTTGGGGCACCAATCTCTACTCCCTACTCACTGGTTAATCCCCCAAACAGGTCCTGAAACCCGACAGAGGAGCCCATGAACCCAAGCTCTCAACATGAGGTTTGTACGTGAAAACTGAGACTGAAATAAATCAGACCACCTTCCTTTAGGGCCCTGCGCAGGAAAGATGTGGCTTTGGGTCTTCTTTTCCATACACTCAACTACCCAAAGCCTGCGTGGTTATTTCAGGCAGATGGAGACACTGAGTGTTCACTCGTCTTCTTTCTATCTTCTGGGTTTTGCTTCTGCTCATTAGGGCTGTGCCTCACCTCCTGTGTTATCTTCTGTCCTTTTGAAAGAAAGCTATGGGCATAAATGTCATTCCAGCAGGTGAAATTCTATGGCATCAGATACCAAGAGACTCAGCCAGCTCCACTCTATCTCCCACAACCTCTGCTAAGTGCTCTTCTTCCTCTTCCAAAGGGATGGGAGAGGGGCAGGGAAATAAGTGAGAAGTGCTCCTCTTTCTGGATGTACCCAGAGATAAGAAAGTAGCACAACCGTGGCTCACTGGGTGAGGGGAAACGTGTTTGGCTCAAAAACTGCTCGGCCTAAAAACACGTGAGCTGTTCTTCGTCTGCTTTTTGAGCTGTAAACAACTGATGTTTGTTGGCTCCTCTCCACCCTCCCCCCTCCCCAGATGACCACAATCCGACCTCCTCGAAAAGCCAAAGCTGCAGCTGCTCCATCTGCCCCATGGCCAACCCACGTCCCCGTCCCCTGCTGGCCTTGTCTCTTCACCTTCAATCTGCAAAAAAGCAACAGCAAGTGGGAAAAATCGCAGCCTTTGTGCTGAGTTCTGACCGTCTCCACGGGGCGCAGAGGCTGGAGATTGCCAAGGATGGAAAATATCCTTTGCTTTCTATCTGCGATGGGACCTCGGCTCTGCTGGAGCTCAGGGCCTTGCAACAACAACAACGCAGAGGCGAAGAAAATTATATTGAAAATATATTGAAAGACATTTATTAGATCCCTCGAAGAACAACTCAGGAGTTATTTTCTTGCCTTATTTTAATTTAATACCATCCCCACAATCAATAGCAGCAAGAAACCCAGCGCTCGCTCAGTGCTCTCCCCAAGGAGGATACAGCTCTGCAGATCTGAGCAGCACTAACTGAACTGGTTTGAAAATTAAGATGCAATAACCAGAGCGCAGGGCTGCATCAAACATGTATTTTAAAGCACTCTTTAATTTTTCATGCATTTCTGAATGTTTCTGAAGGATTACTTCCAGCTCTGCTCCGTCCTCTTTGGGACAATGCTGTTTCTGATTCATGGCTTTTAGGCTGCAAGTTCCCAGCTACCCACTCCCAGTTTTTAGCGTGCAAACCTTTAGGAGATGCACTCAGAAATGAGTTCAGAAGATAAATTGAAAAGCGTGGCCCACAGAGCCTTCAGAGGTTCTTAAGCAACAGCTTCGCTTGGCCCAGGATCCTCCAGGACTGCACTCAGTGCACTCACAGTAAAGCAGTCTGCTTATATTTTCAGCTGTATATTTTACAGCCTACGTGCAGCTGGGTTGTGTTCCCAGCATGGGCCACAGCAGCATGGCGTGTAAGAAACGTCCAGATGGGGTTTTTCATAGGATCATCGAATCATTAAGGTTGGAAAGACCAATGAGATCATCCAGTCCAACCGTCACCCCGTGGCTGTGACCCCTCCAGACCTCGTGTCACCCAGTGACACAGCCAACACCTCCTGGGATGCAGACTCCACTGCCTCCCACCACCCTTTAAGACAAATCCTTCCCTCCTGCCTGCTTTTCGAATGGTTTATACCTGCAATCACACTACAGACCTTTGCATCACAGAATGGTTGAGGCTGGAAGGGACCTCTGGGTCCCTCTGGTTCAACCTCTGGTGGCTCCATCTATCCACACAACTTACAGGATGAAAATCAAAAAGCTCACTCTAAATACTGAAAGAGCATTAAAACAACCAAAGGCACTGAAAGCTGGAGAAGACAAAGCTCTGGGAATACTTAAGAAATGATGTAATGACGTTATGCTGAATTGGCCTGGCTGTCTCATACCAAAATCCTTCTGAAAAGGATCTGGCTGGTTTTGAGCAGCAGCCGTGCAGCCCATCCACCACAGCATCACGCGGCGTACGGCTCTGTTTGCAGCCTCAGATCAAAAGCAGAGCTGTCAGGAGCATC